TTTAAGTTATTTGAAAGGTTAGAAATGTGATAATAACATTTTGACACCCCACAGATTCGAACACGCGTCTCCATAATGATGGGTGAAATGTCAAACCAGTCCAGCCACAACACTTGCTTTACTAAATCGTCACACCATATTATATTTATTCATATCCGGTTAAATCGGCGTTTTGAATGGTTAAACCGGTTAAACCGATCAAACCACAAACCGAAGATCAAAACGGTTTGACCTCCGGCTCGGTTTTCAAAACATTGGAACCAACGAGTCTCCTTCAGTCCAAGTCTTCTTTTCGAATTAACCTGCAAAGCTTCGATGTTGGTTTTCAAGGTAAACACTTTGATGTCTAAGTTATTAATAATCTAATCTACCTTAAGAAAAATTTTAAAAGAAACATTTTAAAAGAAACATTTTAAAAGAAACTTTAGGTCGATTTCAATTACCATTTCGAGGTAACCCTTAAGAGTATTTATAGGTCTTAATGAGATATTTATGTAGCTTACCTTAATGAGATAATCGAAATCTGATGTGTTTAGTAAGGCGATGATCTTGAGAATAGAGGATTGGGTGAGGGCATGCTTATTGTAATTATCATACAACTAGGAAGAACTGAATTTAGACCTTACCTCAATCATTGAGAAACCAAAGGCAACAAGCTGGAGAGAGGATCAAACTCGATAAGTACACAATACGTCCAAGATCAATGATCACAGACCTGCCCTTACACTATTCCCTTCCCCCCCTCCCCCCCCAAGTCATTCACTTGTGAATGACTGATCTGGGTGGTTTAAGGGAATGGTAAATTGTGTATATGGCTAGGCCGAAATAAAAATGTATGACACGTAGCCATGTTATTATGGCTGTAGCCAAAGTAAAAATGCATAACACGTAGTTATTATGTCCATAGCCAAAGTAAAATGCATTATGTGTAGTCATGTTACTATGGCCGTAGCCGAAGTAAAAGTGCATGACATGTAGTCATGTTATTATGGCCATAGCCGAAGTAAAAATGCATGACTTGTAGTCATGTTATTATGGCCGTAGCCGAAGTAAAAATGCATGACTTGAAAATTAAAGGTAAAACACTTGTAGTGATATGAGATATATTGGTATAGACAAAAAGACTTGGGCTAGGCCTAGTTGGGCCCACATAACAAGCCTGAAGAAGAGTTAGTACGAGATACAACAGTTGTTCTTGAAAGACGTGAATAATAAATATGGGTTATAAAGAGTAACTATCATAGTTCAAAGAATGCAATCAAAACGAACCATCAAATTTGAAAAGATATAATTATGGCCATCAAATGGAATTAGTATAAATAGCCATACTTGTGTAAATTTTTATTACTTTATTGTATTTACTACCGAAGTGCTACCAAAATTTCAACAAAGCAAGTATGACTACTGAACTCCTAGGAGCTATAACTTTTGGATTTAACACTAAGTTTTGTACTACGGAGATCAGGTAACTTATGAGTTTTGCTAATTTTGATACTAGTGGAGGTTTTTATTCTCCTTTCACCCTTTTTGACTTAGATCTAAGCCCTCTTAAAAGGTTAGATTTAGAAGTGAAAGTGATATAGAGCGTGAGTTGGAGTTCATTGAGTATGTTGATTACATCCCACCTCTTACTCCATGCAGCGAGAGTTACAAGATTGAAGATATGTCATTAGAAGAGACATTGAGTGTTGGGGAAGGGGGAAGTTAGGAGGTTAGAGCAATGGAGCATGACAAAGTGGGTGTAGAGACTAAGTCGTTTAGGTCAGAGAGGACAGAGGAGGGAATGGGTAAGGAGAAGATGGATGGGGAAGAGGGAATTCCTTTTAATATTTTGGAAGTTGAGGGTGAGCAAAGTAGATGTTATGATGATACGACGGACATTGGCTCAGAGGTAATGTGATATGAAATGGAATGGTAGAGTAAGAGTAGCCTAATTCACCTGGTTGAAACAAATGACATTCCACCCCAAGTGTTAATTAGGCCAACAACGGTGGAGAAAAGGTGTGCTTAGCACCCAATGATCACTGGATGCCCATTTATGCCCACTATTTAGTGGCAGGGTTGAGGTTTCCCATTCTTGGGCTTTTGGTTGGTTTACTGTTAGATTTTAATATAGAATTGATACAATTGGTCCCAAATGCAATAAAGGTGGTGATAGGCTTTTTGCTCGGAGCATTAAGGTCCCCATTGTAAATATGTTTAAATACTTTTTGGTTATTAAGGCTGGAAGTAAGAAGGAGAAGGGGTGGTATTACTTTACACCGCAAGTGTCCAACAGAGAAAAAAGAAACTTGTTTAGCTCAGGGCCATCATCCATTAAGGGGTGGAAAGAAAAAATTTTCTTCATTGATGATACTAAATAGGAAAGGAGAGATGCAAAAGTGGAAGTGTTGTCCACTTGGAAGGGGAAGAGAGGAAATCACAACATGTATAGTTTGAATGGTGATTGTCACGCCCCATAACCCGAATCCGAGAACGTGGCAGACGCCGTGCACTCGTGAACGGATCCTACGAATGCACAAGGCTCAGAACTTATCCAATTCATGTCTGACAATCCAATAACTCAAATCAATTATCTCAAAATAATTCTATGTCCAACATGACTTAAGCTCAAAATTTCGAAGTCAAATCTTTTGTAAACTAACAATCCATCAAATGAATGTATAAAATCTCTTATTATACTTTAGTTTACAAGATCATGATCTATATCTCAAATCTATATTCACTTTACAATATGGCTAGCCCTCTAACTCGTCACTCCCCTCGGTTTCCCCGTCCTCGGTTTCACTTCCTGAAATGGTGGACAAGGAAAACTATGAGATAACTCAGTAAGTAAATATGGATAGCCCTTGGGTAAAATCTTGGCATGCCTGACAAACAATTTAACATAATAAAACGTTCAGTGGTAAACCGTTAATGCAGAATCAGAATCAAATTTAGTTCAATAGAAAAACATTCAATAGCAAACCGTTAATGCAAAATCAGATTCAGTAGTAGTCTCATCTATAAGTCATGGCCAGTGTTTAACAAACTCCCACTGGCAGGCGTCAGTAATGGTACCAGTGTTTAACAAACTCCCACTGGCAGGCGTCAGTAATGGTACCAGTGTTTAACAAACTCCCACTGGCAGGCGTCGGTAATAACCATTGGCAGAAGTATCAGTTTTTAACAAACTCCCACTAGCAGGCATCAGTAATGGTACCAGTGTTTCATAAACTCCCACTGGAAGACGTTAGTAATATTACCAATGTTTAACCCCATTGGCAGGGTGAACCGGTTCCACAGAATACATGTCGACATGTGCTAGCATTTATAAACCTCCCACTAGCGGGCACAGTAAACATGACCATATCAGAGACAAAACCATGCAGGATTTACAGAAAAACCCGAAATTCACAATCAATCTCCAATTTCAGAAATAACCAGAAAATTTCCATGTGAACATGGATTTACAGAAAAACTCAAAACTTACAAAATTCTCAGTTCATCAAAGCAGTTCAGTAAATTCCAAATAGGCATGCTTTACTTAAGAAAACAATGAAATCCTCATTTTCATTCCAATCATACTCAATTCCCGAAAACAATGAAATTCTCATAGAAATCATCACAATTTTCATTTCAGTTTAACCACACTCAAATGCTGATAAAATCAATTTAAAATCAATTTAAACCTTGCCACCATCTCAAAAACAATTTAAAACATGCTTTGAAAATGAAGGGCATTACCATAATTTACTTACCTTACTCGCACAGAACAGAAGGCTAACCCAAGTGCTACGGTGACAGAACAATCAAAACCTAATCACAGTATTCCACAATTAATACTGCATTATCACAAATTCAAGGTAAAATCATCATTAGAACTACCCCTAATCTCAGTGCTATTTCTATCAATCTCCACATAACCGGACATCTCCAAATTTATTCTTATATCACAACTAATCATTTAAATCCCCATTAATTGTTGACCCTCGGTGTGTGAACAGTATCCATGAACAGTACCTCGTGAACAGTGACGGTAACTTCAAAATTTTGGGCAAAACACTAGCTAATTTCACGAGATTTTCTCTATAAAATTCACAGCAGCCAAATTAAGCTAATTCTACATAAACCAAGCACAAAAACACATTTAAAAGGGCTGCCAAATTCATCCCCTATCCCAGCAAATTCGGACAACACAAAGCATCAACTAATGGAGAAAACCCAGCAATTAAATGGGTAATTTCGGACTTAATGGGACTGTCAACATACCAGAAATCCAGCAAGCAAAGTCAGACTGGCGGGTTTCAGGGAAGGCCAACGGAAATTCTGCAGGGGAACTCGCGGCTACCCAATCCAAAAACCAAAACACAATTCAAGGTAAACCCAAGCCAAATTAAAGTTGAAAAGATGAATTCAAGGTTGCTTCTTACCAGAAAAAGCCGAAGGATTCAAACCTAGCAGAACCCGACAGACAAGGGAGGAAGAAGCAGAGCAGATCAGGGATTTCTAGGTTGAGAGGGAAGATTTTAAGCCCCAAATCTTGTGATTTAACAAGAAAAGAATAAGAAATTTCATCAAGCTCATCGGGTTTTTAAGGGGGGGAAAGTCGGTGGCTTGGGGGGCCGGAGGGAGTCGAGAAGAAAAGAGCAGGCACGCGGATAAGGAAGAAGAAAAAAGAAAGAAAAACTCAGCCATCCTTATCCTAATTTCCTTTCTTTTTTTAAGTCCCTCAACTTTTAAAAATTTGACTATTAAGCCCCTCAATAATATTTTTCCTCAAATAAGTCCCTTACTTAATTTATAAAATTTCCAAAAATTTGGGATATTACAGTGATGAAGAGGAAAAAGTAGAGAAGCTAGTGAAGGAGAGGGATAATGTGGTGGATATTATGTATCTCACCAGCTCAGACATCATAGATGCAGTTGAGCTCTATGGAGCAAGCTCTTTGAGTTGAGTGAAGGTGTGTGCTTTTTTTTTTTATTTATTTATATTGTATAGTTTGAAGTTAGGCTCTAATCAATATTTTAATGTTTTGTAATCTTGCAGCCGAGATGGACAAGTTCCTATTTGCAATTCGAGAAGTGGTTATCCCCAAAAAATTCAAAGAACCCTGTAGCTAAAGGTCAGGGAGGAAGCAAATAGAAAGGCCAACCCTCTAGCACCTCAATTTGAGCTTCAACCATTGAGGAGTCGAGACAAGAGCTAAAATGGAAGGGAAGGGAAGGGAAGAGAAGGGAAGTGAAGAAGGTGGTGCTGCTCAAAAGAAGAGAAGAATGAGGAGTAGAAGGACAGAAGGAATAAGGTGATAGAGTTCATTCTTTATCCTTCCCTAGTTGAGCTCAACTCAAAACTTAGAGAAGTTGGGGTTATGACCCATGGGAAAGGAAAGGGCCTTACTCCTTTTCCTTTATAGTAGTCTAGTTTTTACAACTACAAGAGTAGAATGGTTGCAAAGTGGTTCATAAATGCCACATTCCGAAAAGTGGATCTATGTCGGGTGAAGGAGGAAGTCTTAGCTCATGGTGGTGTTAAGGTCGTGTGCCATGTGCTTGAGGTATTATTTAGCCATGTGTTACAATTATTATATATTTTTGTTTCGCTCTTCTTCTTTTTTTTTTTTTTTTTTTTTTTTTGACTGTTGTGATTGTAAGCGACAAATTTGGTGAATGCCCTATCGTAGGAATTTTTGGAGAGCCTCAAGGAGCGCAATAATTTGGAGAAGGAGAATGAGGAGTTAAGGAAGAGGAAGGAAGAAAGGGATAAAGATGTGGAGGAGGTAACCTCGGAGGTTGAATAACTCCAAGAAGAAAATGATAATTTGAAGAAGCTGCTCTACTTCAAAGAGGAGAAAAGGAAGATCTGTGAAAACAAAATAACATATCAAAATAAAGAGATCACTGAGGTGAGGAAAGCTACTATCGAGCTAGAAAGAAGTGTGAATGTGCAAGTTCATAATGCGATGGACAGTCACATTGTTGAGTTCCTTAAGTCCAGCACCTTCAACAATATTGTTAATCTTTACCAGCTGCCCATTGCAATTCTCACATTTATGAACTATAAGAAAAAGGTGAAAATGCAACATCCCTAGCTGGACATGACGAGTATCACTTTCGAAGATCAAGAAGAGAAGTGGAGGAAAATAGTGAGAGCATGACGGTTGACTTCCATCTCGAAGTCAAGCTGAAGTGGGATCACGACAAAGAGGGTTGTACTATTTTTCCTTTGAACTTTGACTTCAAGTTCATTGCAATTGAGGGGGAAGAAGCAGAGGTGGCCAAGGGTGCAGAGGTTGGGAAGAACAAATCGAAGCAAGAGGTGAACCATTTCGTCAACAGAAAAGTTGTCCTTATTTTAATGATTTCTTTGTTTTAGTTTGGTATTTGAACAATTTGTTTAAGAGATTATTGTAGTTTTTATACATTTATTTTGTTAATACATTTGTAATTTGTTCTACTCATCCATTTCATTTCATAGTTGTTTAAGATAAAGAATGAAATGAAATTTGGGATCAACCAAATATGAGGTGGAATTCATATTACTGGAATATTACTGGAATATAAGTTTAAGAGTTGAACTGAATGATGAATTCAACTCGGACATAGGAATTGACAAATGTGAAGTAAAATTGGACAAAATCCACTTAGGGGAATGAATCAAGGATAAAATTTCTTTAGATTATTAACATTCCAAACTCTAGGAATTCTCTTTCCCTTTGCGTCTTGGAGAATATAGGCATCTATGTGTGGTACCTCAATCACAATGTAAGGGCCTTCCTAGTTCGGAGCTAACTTACCAAACCAGGTTTCGAACCCTGTTAGACCAACTTTCCTAAGAACAAGGTTGCCAACTCTGAATGTTTAAGGGTGTACTCGTTTGTTGTAAAAGTTGGCTAACTTTTGGTTGTATGACAATATTTGAAGTTAGGCTTCTTCTCAAACTTCAGTAAGCAGATCAAGGTTTTCCCGAAACAATATTTGAAATGGGTGACCTTGAAACTTGGGACTCGTATTTCAATAGGCATGACTGCTTCAGTACCAAAGGCCAAGTGGTATAGTCTCTCACCTATTTCTTTGAATTGCATATGCTTTATATGTTTTATATGTTTGGACTAGAATTTAAGTAGTAGGAAATATAAGAAAGGAGTGGAGAAATGAACCAAGTCAAAAGTTGGTTACCTGTTGTAGATCAGCTGGTGGTTCTGTATGCCCATAGCACATTATTGAGCTCATCTATCCACTTGGCTTTCTGCTACTCCAACCTCGATTTTATTCCTTTTAGAATAGATTTGTTGATTGATTCCACAATTCCATTGGATTTTGGGTGGTGCACCAACGTAAATTATAGCTTAATTCCATAATTGAAGTAGAAATCTTTGAACGAAGCACAATTGAATTGCACTCCGTTGTAAGAGATGATTTGATTTAGGATCCCATATTTGTAGATGATTAGATTGAAGGCGAAGTCCTCAATTTTCTTAGAGGTAAGGCTAGATAACGGTCGAACTTCAACCCACTTTGTGAAATAAGTAACTTTAACTACCAAATGTGTTACTCCTCCAACCCTTTTCACAAATGGACCCAAAAGATCTAGACCCCATTGGGTGAATGGCCATGCTGCCACCAAGTTCGTGAGCTCCTTTACGGGTTAATGAGTTAAATGTGCAAAGAATTGACATTTTGGGCATTTTCGCGCAAAATCTTTGGCATCCTTCTGTATATTGGGCTAGTAGTATCCTTGAGAATTTTGTGAGCTAATGTCTTGGCACTGATGTGACTTCCACAAACACCCTTATGCACCTCCAAAAATGCATATTCGACTTCATAGAGGGTCAAATAATGGAGCAAAGGGTATGAGAATGATCTCTTGTAAAAGATTCCATCAATTAGCGTGTACTGAGCTGCCTTTCACCTCCATCTCATTTCTTCTTGCTTATCCTCAAGAACTAGGCCATCTTGTAAGAAAGACTTAATCGGATCCATCCAACTTGGTGTGTTTGGGTCTACACTAATCTCCATTGTTGTTGGCTTTTGAAAACTGGGTTCATTGAGAACTTCAATAAAGACTAACTTCGTAGCTTGAAAACTATCGGATGCAAACTTTGAAAGGGAATCTACCTATTTGTTTTCAAATCTAGATATTTTGGTCAGAGAAAATTTTTTGAATTTATACCTCAATCCGACACCAATGTTACGCACTTCATCAGAGTAAAATTTACTACTTGACAAACTGACTTGACTTAATTAACCATGAGCTGAGAATCGCCATATATCTGAATTACTCTTATTTTCAACTCTAATGCCAATTGGAGACCCAATAATGGGGCTTCATATTCATCCATATTTTTGGTTGCATCAAAGTTAAAGTTCAAGACATGCTCACTTCGGTATCCATCTAGGCCTACAAGGACTACTCCAACTCTTGAGCCTTTGTTGTTTGATGCCCCATCAACATACAAAACCCATGTATTTGGCTCAGGATGTGAACTTGATTGATTAGATGTGCACTCAACAACAAAATATGCTAATGCTTGAGCTCAAATTGTTGTCCTCTATTGGAATATTATTTCAAATTCCCCTAACTCTACTACCCATTTGATTAATCTATCTAATGACTCTGGTTTCTACAAGATTTTCCAAAGAGGCTAATCTGTGAGGACAACTATTGGGTGTGATTGAAAATATGGCCTTAGCTTCTTGGCTAAAGTAACAATAGCTAAAGTTGCTTTTTTAGCAATTGAGTATCTCTGCTCTAGTCCATGCAATACTCTGCTTATATGGTATATGGGCTTTTACTGTTTTCCTTCTTCCCTCACTAATACAAAACCAATTGCCTCCTTTGAAATTCCAAGATACAAATAAAGGATCTCACCATCAATAACTTTAGTCAACAGTGAAAGTGAGCTGAGACTTGTGCTCGTCAAATGCAACTTGACATTCTGGAGTCCATTTGAACTTTTTCAGCCTACCTGATTCATCTTTTTGAGTTGTCAATCTCATGATCTTAAAAAATGGAAGGCACTTATCAGTTGACTTTGAAACAAACTTGTGTAGGGTTGTAACTTTCCTAGTTAACATCTTCACATATTTAACTAACTTCGGAGGTCCCATCTTTTCTATTGCTTTGATCTTCTCTGAGTTGACCTTAATCCCCCTCCTAAAGACGATGAAACCTAGAAACTTTCCAAATTCCACACTGAAGATGTACTTTACAGGGTTCAATCGCATCATATTCTTCCTTAAATTGTTGAAAGTTTCATCAAGGTCAACCAAGTGGTCCTCAGCTTTCAAGCTTTTAACCACAATATCATCAACATAGACTTCCAACTTTCTACCAATCTGAGCTCAGAACACAATGGTCACCATCTTCTATGTGGCAATTGCATTCTTTAAACCAAAAAGCATCATGGTGTAGCAATAAATTTCATCACCAACATAAAAAGAAGTTTTTTCTTCATCTTCGAGGGCCATTGGAACTTGATGGCAACCTAACTATGCATCTAAGAGACTTAATCTCTCATTCCCGAAAGTTGCCTTAACCAATTTATCAATATTCGACAACGGATAGCAGTCTTAAGGACAAGCTTGGTTGAGATCAATGTAATCGATGCACATCATCCATTTATCATTAGCCTTCTTGACTAAAACTAGGTTGGAAACCCACTCACAATAATCAACTCTTCTTACGAAGCCTACTTGCAAGAGTTTCTCCACTTCTTCTTTAATCACCTTAAGTCTTTCCCCCCGAAGAGGTGTTGTTTCTGTGCAACTAGCCTTTTCATGGGATTGTTGCTGAGCTTGTGCATAGATATTGAGGTTGGGATCCTTGCCACATCCGCTGAAGTCCAACCGAACACATCTTTGTTAGCTCGGAGGAAAGCTATTAACTCTACCTTTTCTTCTAGGTTCAAGCGAGTCCCAATTTGAGTTGTCCTATTCAGATCTCTATCATTAATCTGTACTTCCTCAACATCTTCAATCGGAGCAGCTCAAGTTTCATTTTCTAGTCTATTGTCAAGTATCTCTACTCTCGTTACCTATTATCTATCTAAAATTTCTTATAGAGCAACCTCCGGCATTTGAGTCACCTTCTTCTGAGGTTGTGTAACCGAGGTAATGTAACAATGTCTGGCTACCTCTTGGTTACCTTTTAACATCACTATTCCCATAGGTGTGGAGAAGTTCATACACAGATATGATTGAGAGACTGCAGCTCGAATCTTTATTACTATAGGCCGACCAATGACAACATTGAAAGAAATGGTCATCTTAACAACGAGAAATCAAACTGAAGGAGTGACATAAGTTTAGCCATGCCCAAAAGCCACATGAAGAGTAAAAGCCCTTTCAACTGGGACCAGTTGATTATTGAAGCCATAAATAGGACCATCATACCTTTGCAACAAAGCAAGATTGAGACCCAAACTCTCAAAACAATGATAATACATTATGTCAGGTGCGTTATCAATATCAATAACTATTCACAAGACTCGAACTCGAGATCTTACTTAAGGGAAACCGAACTCCTTCCACTCGAATTAACAGGTCGTTGGTGGTGATAAAGACTATTTGAGTATTGAAATGGTTTAGACTAACAAGAAGATAATTTTGTGATTTATTACATTTAATTTTTTAGGCATTTAACGATCCCTATTAACAATTTTGTTTGTAAAAAAATTTATTCATACTATAATTTGAAGTTCTAATGCATTGAAATATGTTTATTACATAAAATTTCTTTTGTGAAAAAAGATAAACACTCATATTGTGTTATCTATTATTATAGTAATAGAATCTAATTCCAACTTGATTGTATTGTCAAAAAATTGAGTGAAAAAGTCAAAGTGATCTTGAAACACGTATTTGAACTTTATGAGAAACTACCCTAGAAGAAGAAGAAATCCCATTACAGTATTTGTTCTTTTTATTTTAATATAATTTTATTAAATGAAAAAGAGAAAAAGCATATGGAAAGAGCATATTTTATAAAAATTTGAGGGAGGAAAAGGGTTTAACATAATAAGATTAATTAAGAACGAAGTCTTATTTATTGATTCGGGCACGTTTGGTATAGTGGTTAAAATTTAGTGGATAACGAATAATAAGTAGCAGATAGCAAATAATAGTAACGAGTAGTAATTAATGGATAGTGGATGACAGATAACGAAGAGCATATAATGGATAATAGATAACGAATTCAATGAATATAATTGTTTAATTATATGATAGTTAGCGATTATTATTTTAAATTAAATGACTAATAATGACATTTTAAAATAATTATATGTATTCCTATATATTTTTATTATTAAAATTATTAATTTTGTAAAAATAATAATAAAAAATAAATTATAATAGTGTAATTATACATTAATTTTTATTTTAATAA